ATCTTTGCTGTAGTTATAACCTTCACACGTACTGAAGTTCAGGTGGAGCTCTACAGAGTTTGGAGTTATCCAGCTGCGTCTGGCTTAGTTCTGGCTGCTGTGCTCAGCTCCTTCCTGCTGCGGACCTGGACCAGGTCTGGGTCTGGGGGTTCCCAGTAATCAGCAGAAATCCTACTCAGTGGGAGAGGTGGGGGAGGTACGGCGGAGTGGTGGGGGGCGGCCCGAGGGGGTGGGAGAGGGTCCGGCACACGCTGTACCTGGGCTGGGACTGGTCCCGCCGGCGCAGGGTAGCAGGAAGCTCTCCACACACTCACCGGACCTGGGCTAGGACTGGGTCTCTCCTTATTAATCTTATATTTGATTCTTCTACTAGTTATTTCAAAGTTGCATATTAGAATCACCCCTACTATTACTGTGTTGCTACTTTTACCTTCAATTCTGTCAAAGTTTGCTTCATATATTTGGACACTTAGAAGTCTGGTGCAGAAACATTTATTACTCTCATATTTTCTTGGCAAGTTGACCCTTTTTATCTTCATATAATGTGCTTAATCTCTTGTCACAGTTTTTATTTGAAGTATAATTTGAAGTTCATTTTTACCCCTGTTTCTCTCAGTGCTTCCCATTTGCAAGGAATACCTTTTCCTACTATTTTGCTTTCTGCCTATTTGTTTCCTTAGCTCTAAAGTGAGATTCTTGTAGACAGCACATCCTGTTTCTTTATTTGGTCCATTCAACTAATCTATGTCTTTTTACTTGGCATTTAAATATATTTATATTTAGTTGCTCATAATTACCCATAGAGAATTCACTATTGCTATTTTATTGTTTTCTGTATGTTTATAGCTTCTTCCCCTTCTTTTTGATTAAATTCTCTTCTTGTTTCCTTTTGTGTGTATGTTACAGGCATTTCTTTGTGGTTCTCAAAGTGCCTCCATTTTCCTACAAATGATTCAGGGTTATCCTTCTTTATAGCAGAGCAGTGCTCTGCTGTGTATAAATACTGCGTCTTCTTTAATTATTCATCTATTGATGGACATACAGGCTGTTTCCTAGATTTAGCTGTTGTGAATTGTGTGGCTAAAAACCTCGTACACATGGGTCACTCTATTATGTTGTCATCAATAACATACTTTATAGGGCAGGCCTAGTGGTAATAAGCACTTAAGTTTTGCTATCTGAGCAAAATTTAATTTCCCTTTTATGCTTTTGGTTTTGGTGGTACCAGGAATCAAACTCAGGACTTTGCACTTGCCAGTCAAGCACTTGTTCCACTGAGTTATCTTATCTCCTCAGCCCATTAACTTCCCTTTCAGTCTTAAAGAACTGCTTTGTCAGACACAGGATTCTTGTTTTTTTTCTTCAGCTGTTTGAATATAAAACCCTACTTCCTGGGGTCTACAGTCTTTCCAGAGAGATCTCCTGATAGTCACACTGCAACTCCCTTGTGTTCATGAGTCATGTTTCTCCTGCTGCTTTTGTGGCTTTGTCACTATTCAAAGCTGGGTGATGTTCATAGCAGTTACTGGCTATCATATTGGTGTTTGGTATTTACATTTTTCCTTGAGTTTTTTTGAAAATATCCTGGAATCTATCCAAATTTTTTATTTTTATTTTCAAGCTATTATTTATTTTCTTGCTTTAGTAAGCAAAAAAAATTCATAAAATCCTATGTTCAGGTCTGTGCATCCTAAACATTTCAATATGTTGTGCTTTTGTCTTCATTTGACCCTATGTACTCTCTACTTCATTTTACTAATTTACTTTCTTCTTTGATCCATTGGGTGAGTGTGTTTTGGATAAAAAAATTTTGGATAAATCCATAAAATCATCCACTGATTCAGCAGACTACTAGGTACCATGCTTTGATTTCTATGAAAACAAGCAAAAATCAGAATAAAATGGAGCCATCCATATCTCTAGTATACTTCGTGGTAACTTCCTGTGATTGCGTTTTGAACATGTATAAATACTGCATCAGATATTTTGCTTGTCAGAGTGCCTCAGCACTTGAGAAAGCCTCTAAAACACTTCACTGTGTGAAATCAGATTTCCTTTAGATTTCTTGTGTTATTTAAAATGTTCAACGTGGCACAAGAGTGCAAATATATTTAATACTATGTCAATGAGTACTTACAAATGATTAAGATGGTAGATAAATCTATATAAATTTGATTAAAACCAAAAATATAAAATATACGACACAGGTGTATTTGAGCAGATTTAATTCTTAAGTAATTTTGCCCACGCTTTTTTGGTAAATATGCTTTTCTGGTTCAGATTTTCATGAGAAATTGAAGTCAATAGTATATAGGAATGCTAAAGTTCCACTCCGGTGGTATTTCATATTCATGTTGCATGTGCATCCCTCCCGCCATCAGATATTTTGCTCTGTAGATTAGGATTTCCATAACCATACTTGTTCGTTTATTGAAAAGTTACTGAATGCTGGCTGTGCGTTTACCATCCTTGAAGAATAGTGAGGAGCCAGACACTGTGGCTGCAGTAAGCTACTTTGACTTTCATCAGCTATTGCAGCAGTGACTGGGAGGGCCTCAGGGATAGGTCAGTACTTTTACTTAGAAATGTATTTTTAATGGGTTTCTACTACATTCAGAGAAGTTGTTTTTACTTACTGTCAAGTCTTGGCTTGGAGAGAATATTTTCAATGTTAATTAGGATGCTGGAATATAGAAAGAGGTTCCACTCTTCCTCTGGTAGGAATCCAATGCCATCAGGCCTGAGGTTGCCATCCGCATTGTTTTGCATGATTGTAGTGCAAAGCCGGAAGGAGAAGCAGAGTTTATGTTGGTTGAACAGAGCTGAAGAAACCACCTACAGAGAAAATGCAAGTGTTAGAGCAACCAGCTATCTTAAATGTGCAGTTTGCATGAAAGAACTTCTCTCACCTTAAAAATATTTCTTGTCAGTGAATCTAATACATTGCTAATATGCTTGTGTAAGGCATTTTTCTCACTTTCCAAGTTAGGTCGTTCTGAGATATTTTTAATCTCATTAACTTTGTTCAGAGATATCATCTCCCTTTTCAAGCTATGCTCTTGCTCTTTGTTTTTGGAAACTATTGATGACACAAAGATCTGGCGAAACCAGCTGAGGGAGAACTGGTACATGTGGTCCACCCGGGCCAGGCCCGCTGCCAGAAAGTACAGCAGGACACCTTGCGTGGCGATGGGCAGGTACTTCTCTCGGGTGGCTTGGATTTCACTTTCTGCTTTCTCTGTTGCTTCAATGCGTTTTGCAATTTCCGTTGAAGTCATTTTGCATTTTCTTAAGGTATCTATAATTTCCTTATCATCTAATACACATCCTAAAGACAAACAGTGAACAAAGAGTGAATTTAAGGAAAGATTACATGATACCAGTAGGTGTTTCCACATCCCATCTCTGTGTAAGTTTTTTCCTGGGGGCTTTGTGTCAGTTTTGTGTTGGAGATGGGCTTCAAGGAGACAATCCTGTTTCTGAGAGATGAGATTGACAGCTCAGAGGCTGCACTTCCCACTCCCACGTTTTCCCTGTATCACTTTCATCTCTGTGGATGCTACTTAAATTATAGGCAAAGCACAAGTATCCAGTCCAACTTAGGGAGTACACCTGCACCGTGACCATCAGATAGGGAGACGTTAATGTTTCCAGAGGGTAACAACCACACTATTACTTCATGGGAGAACTCTGATATTTTGTATTCTATTCTGTTAAACAAATAAAACTGATATCCAGCAATATGAATTTTTCAATGAGTAAAAAGTTATCTTTTGAAAAGCCACTGCTCTTGGGCCAGCCAGATAGCTCAGGGGACTAAAGCACCTGCTTAGGCAGATGCCGGTGTTGTAGGCAGCTAAATTAGATAGAAATATTACAGGCAGTCAGACAGGGCCAGGCCCCCAATGAGACAATATAAAAGACAAGTGACATTGCAACTTTGCAAGAGACAGACACTCCCCACTGTGGGCCAGGCCTCAAGGCAAGAGAATAAACAAATATCGTCACATACTATAGGCATCAGTGACTGCTATTCTAAATGATCCCCAGTGTGCTGTCCCAGCCCCCGCCCCCGAGGGTGCACTAAGAGGGTGGGAGACTGAGACTGGGTGTGGTGGGGCGCACCTGAAATCCTAGCACTTAGGAAGCTGAAAACAGGAGGATCACTACTCATCCATCTGTGTAGTGAGACCCTGTAGACCTTGTACTAAATACAATAAAAAAAAGCCACTGCTCTAGATACACATAATAATTCGGTTTTTTTTTGGGGGGGGGATTGAACTCAGGCCCTTGCGCTTGCCAGGGAAGCGCTTATTCCACTGAGCCATCTCCCGGCCTCGATACACATAATAATTCTATGTTTCAAATTTTGAGGCAATTCTTAAATTTGCATTATAAACTCTTCTATTTTATGGGCTAAACATTTTCTCCTTTTCCTTATTTGCTTTTTTCTCATGACAGGGTTTTGCTTTTTTTCTTTCCTCCTTGTAGATGGTTTTAAAATCTGAGGTACAGACTTCCTTTCTTTGGAAAACTTTTCCACTTAACATACATCTCTTCTTGGCATTGGGCCAAGGCGGGTGACTTCAGGACTGAACCTATGAAGCATGGGTCCAAGGTGGAGTGCCAAGGGGTGGTGAGACTTTGAGGCAGGGTCTGGGGGCCGAGGCAGGGACCTGAGCTCACTCAGGAGCCAGGGATTGTGAGAGCAAGGCTACCTCTCCCTCTCCTCCACAGTCCTGCCCAGGGTACTACTGGGGGCCAGCCCATGGCTTGAACTCGCTGGTCCTGTGGAACCTGAAAGTAGTGGGGTTGTTTCTGGGAAAGGCTGCTTTGTACCGTGCCAAGCTTTCTGTTTGCCTCATCAAAACATTAAAACTTTATTTATAAATGTTTGCCTTTTTAAAAAAAGCCTGGTTTTCAGTCCATCTTACAAAGCAGCTGGTCATGTGGGCTTGCACTCCAGACCATGGGCCTTCCAATCAGACAGATATTGAATTGGTAGTGAGTACCAATACTGCATAGATGGCTTCAGAGTTGATGAAGGTCAGGGCCCAGCTGAAGAAGTTCAGTCTCAGGTAAGTCTATGGTGGAGCTCATTAGATAGTTGTATGGAAAAAGAAAAAGAAAGAGCAATAAAATCTGTAGAATACTCCTATATATTACCTGAATTTAGAATCCAAGTTATTTGGGACACTTTAAAGTCCAAATAAATCACAAGTTGAAACACAGAAGTTTCCCATTGCTAAGGACTCTTGTATTTTGTTTCAGTTGCTTTGGGAGCAGTGTCTGTTAGTGGACTTAACCTAAACTTGTTAGTTCCTATAAACTCTATGATTTCTGAGATAGTTCTTTTTTTTAATGATTAACCAGCATATTTGTATTATTTGGGTTTTTTAATATTAATTTTATTGAGAAAGAAGTAACAATGAAACAGTTTCAAAACAGGTTAGTAGGACAGTTACAATAATCAATACATTGCATATTGTTGTCTTCGTAGTAGTTATTCATAGTATAAGATGCAGACATGGTATCTTGTCTAAACACAATTAGTTCAAAACTTTCTTCTCATTGAACTAAGAGAAAGCTGTATATCTATGTT